ATAATAGCCATTGCTTCAGGGACCTTACAAACTTAGATTCCGGAAGTGACCGCAGATAAGGCGGTAAATTGTTGTATATTCGTATGGCAGACATATAAGTACTTTTTTCAAAAGTTGCTGAATTTGACCGAGGTAAATGTAATTTGTCTTCACGTCTCATCGCGGTTATTCTAGCTCTCTTGTCAGAGATTTTTGGGAATTCAGACATATGACATCTTAAAAATTTACACATTTCTAATATATAAATACAGGCCAATGTTAAAATTTGTTTTTCTTTAAAAATATTACGCATTGATTCGTCACTATATTTATTAAAAATTATTCTTAAACACCTTTTTTGTAATAGGAATGTACTTTCAACATTAACAGAATTGCCCCAAAATATGATACCATAGCTTAATATGGAATATATATTACCATAATAAGCATTTAATGCTACTTCAGTGGATGATATATCGGTCAACACTGACAGGGCGTAACAATAGCTACTTATTTTGTCATTAATTTTCTCTATTTGATGTTTCCAATTCAGGTGAGTATCTATGGTAATACCAAGGAAATTAGCATATTCTACTTCTTCTATTTTGGTGCCATTTACCGCAATTTTAAGGTCCAAAGGTTCTTTTTTATAATTTCTAAGTTGTAGAATGTTAGTTTTTATTAAATTAACTGTTAAATTGATTGATTTAAGCCAAGTTGTCAGATTTTGTAATGTCAAAGATATATTAAGTTCAAAGTCATTCTTACACATATCGTCATTCTTAACAAATAAAATAGTCGCGTCATCAGCATACATTGTACATAGATCTTTAATAATATTTGGTAGCTCATTGATGTAGACAAGGAAAAATAATGACCCTAGAATGCTGCCCTGCGGCACACCTATTGGAATTATTTGATATTCTGATTTGGTTTCCTGCAAAGTTTTTGTTTTCCTATCCAAATATGTCAAATTTACTATTTGCATTCTTTTAAAAAGATATGACTCTATTAGTTTTAACGCGCAACCTCGAATTCCAATATGCTCAAGTTTTTTAAGCAGAATAGAATGAACAACGCAATCAAAAGCACGTGACATATCAATGAACAAGGCTGCACAGTATTTTTTTTCATCTATTGATTTCCACACATGTTTTAAAAAACTATAGACCGCCGAGGATGTTGACAAATCCTTTCTAAATCCAAATTGGCTATTACTTAGTATATTATTCTTCTCAATAAATTCCATTAATCTCGTGTATAAAACCTTTTCAAATATTTTTGAAAACGCTGGAAGTAGAGCAATTGGTCTGTATCATTCTGGGGTCTGGGTCATATAGTCGTGGTCAAGTCACAGTGGGTACAGATTGTGAAGTGGGTACAGATGGACCCAGCATCTGCCCTTGTTGTGGCCTGTGTGTGAGGAGACTGAGACGCGGAGTGTCACGTTGTTAGGTAAGTTTCTGTTTGATGTTAGAATTTAATGTACGGTTGGTCAGGCCATTCGGTAAAAGGAATTTCCTGAGTTTAATCTGTGATCACGTGACCGAAAATCCGTCGCCTCTGCTATGCAAATACCGAACGCAGCTACTGTTTCACCAAATTTGTCATCCAGCCGTGACGTCACACTGACGTGTCGAATCAGAACGCGTTGCTACGATGGCGATTAGGCGTAACTAGCAGTCAGTTGACAGAGCGAGCAGCCTCGCGAGGCAATTGAATTTTTTTGTGGGGAAACGCCGCCGACATTCAAACTATTTTTGTGCAGCAGAAGAGAGCTATTCGATCAATTTATAATCTTAAAGTTAAGGATTCCTTAAGAGATAGGTTTAAAAAATTTGGTATAATGACGGTCGCATCACAATACATTTACGAAAATTTATTATTTGTAAGAAAAAATATTAATTTGTTTCTTAAAAACAGTGATGTTCACACACTTAATACAAGAAACAAAAACAAACTAACTTTACCTGCTACTAGGCTTCACAAAATCAATAATTCATTTAAAGGTCTTTGTGTTCGCTTAAACAATAAAGTCCCAAGCAATATCCAAGAGTTAAGCATAAATAAATTCAAAGATAGTATAAAAAAGCACTTATTAAAAAAGCTTATTACAAAGTATCTGATTATATTACAGACAAAAATGCTTGGGTTTGAACTGTTCCAATGTTTCCAACAGATTTTCTATATTAAATAAATCATGATTGTATTGACGTTGTAACAACATAATGATTTGTAAATGTTGTTACATTATGCTTTTAATGTTGTGGAGTTTATTTCGCTCGTTTTTCTCCGCAGCTAAAAAATATGTCCAATAACGAGTGGTAGGGAAAAAAAATGTTTGGACGATTCAAAAGTGTTGTACTATACATCCAATTTGAATAAAGATATATTGATTTCTGATTTCTGATTACCGCGCGAGGCAACTCGGTTAATGTAGACGTGCCTCGCCCGAGGCAAGCGCGCGCGTTGCCGCGGGCAAGCGACCGAGCGCTCGAGCCATCGAGTGTCAGTTTTTTGTTTTGCTCAAAGGCGCCTCGGTCGAGCATAATGCAGTGAAACCTGGTTAAGTGGGACCTGGATAAGTGAGAAACCTCTATTATTGGCGTTGCAATGAGGTCCCGGTTCTTTTCCAGTAAATTACCTCTGTTAATGGGACTTCTTGAACCTAGTTAAATGAGATTTGAATTCTAAGACTCTTTCGATGTTTACCTCTATAATTGAGACTCTGTAGCTCAATTACCTGTATAAGTGAGACTAATTAATCAGGTTGTAACACGTTTTGACATGTTTGTTTACATACATTTCGCGTCGTTATTCACGCATGCTTTGTTTGTTAGTACTATCTCAGGTTTTGACCTAAAACAAGGGAATAACGGCACATTTCGATCTCTGTAAGCGGGGACCTCTGTAAATGAGACAACTATAATTTTAAACCTGCTTAATTGGAAAACTGTATTATTGGATACCCTCAATAATTGGTACATATGTCTTAGTTCCTTGAGATCCCAATTAACCGGGCTTCACTGTAATTATGAATAAAGATCAGTGTTTGATATTAATATCTCTGTATGGTGTAAACACCTGGCTATACAGGATGTGACAAAAGTCCGAAATAAAACTTTAGGGTTTGGTTGTGTTCCTTGTATAGAATTACCTAAGAAAGTTTTACGCCTTTCAGACCGCTTTTATTTTCTAACTAAATTAATAAAAATAAAGTTTTACACCTGCCTATGACAACCCTTTAAATACGTACGATTACTACTACCTTAACAGACCCCCCTCTTACCCCCAGGCGCCCCTGCGCCCCGCTTAGATACCTACAAATTTTTATTTCGGAATACATACCTACAAATTTTATTTCGGAATTCTGTAACACCCTGTATAGAGCAAATATAAGAAAATGGAGTCATTGATGGGATCTTTCAGGCGGGAAAAATTACGAGAATGAACGAACGAAGAAAACTGGCTCGGACTTGCCGCGCTATTTTTTTTTTTTTTTGTGTTATAGGGGCATACGAGCAGACGGCTCACCTGATGACTTATTTCATATTTCAGGGACAGTTTCTGAGGCTGCTTGCTCTGTGTAAATGCGCCTAATTAGAATTCAAACAAAAATTTGTTCTGTACCATCTTGGTTTTATATGACAGGATATTTTGCAAATAAATAAATAAATAAATATTTCCAACACTCACACCAATTAGCCTAGCCCCAAAGTAAGCACTGTAGGCTTGTGTTATGGGATGCTAGGGTAACGGATAGAATACATATACTGTACATATATAAGTATATTTATATAGAAATACGTATTAAACATCCATGACTGGAGTACAAATGCTCGTATTCATCACACCAACATCTGCCCCCACCGGGATTCGAACCCGGGACCTCTCGAGTCGGCGACACCATGAAACCCGGCGTACAAACCACTCGGCCACGGAGGTCGTCAAATGTGATATAACTGTGATTTGCGGAAGCGAGAGTAAAGTTTTACCAACTGTTGGACTTCCAGGCCCCAAGAGGTTAAACTTGATTTTTTTTGTGGAGAAAAGGTCTCTCTTATTATATTTGTTTCTTAGGTTTTCACGCACATCACTCATTAAATAAAACTAGTTTTTACGGGTTAATGCACGAAAACTTTATTTATTTATTGACGTTTCGCAGCCTTTTCAGGTCTGCATCGTCAGAATAATGATTTTATTTAAAATTGTCAATTGTGTTGAAATAACCGAACGCTCAATATAATTCTTTCGAAGGTAGCTCGAAAATTTTAAATAAAATCATTATTCTGACGATGCAGACACCTGAAAAGGCTGCGAAACGTCAATAAATAAATAAAGTTTTCGTGCATTAACCCGTAAAAACTAGTTTTATCTCTTTTATTAGTTTTTTTCTGGCGCTTCGCCGGCCGCTGCCATGGCACGCTCGCTTTGCTCGCTCAGCTCGCGCTTTATGGTCACAGCACTAAACTAACCTAGTGTGAAGTATCACCGCTTGGGCCCTGGAAGTACAATTTGACCTATGTATTTATTATAAACATATTAACCGTTACACATTCTTACATCTAAGCATTTAATTGCTCCCTCCTTCTGTCGCAGTCGGGTAACAAGGCATTCAACATTGAGATTCCTTCTCGTACAAACACATTCGAATATTATTTCTTATTATTTACAAATTATGTTCCCTTCAGCCTGTTTCGTCAAAGTTGGTTGGTTAATATTATTTTAAACTTTCATGGTTACTAACATTATTAGTAATTCATGTTATTTACGGGATTGAAGAGCTCAATGGCGCGGGTGGTTAGAGCGTTCGGCTGCGATCGTTGAAGTTAAGCAACTTTCGCAGTGGTCGGTCATTGGATGGGTGACCAAAAATCTTCTATCTCGAGTACCTCCGTGCTTCGCAAGGCACGTTAAGCCGTTGGTCCCGGCTGCATCTGCAGTCGTTATCACCCGCCAATCCGCACTGGGCCCGCGTGGTGGGTCATTGGCCACAACACACTTACAACAGTGCCAAAAAAAAAAACAAGGTGCATGGATGGAAGTAATCCCGTAAATAATATAATAAATTATTGTAAGTTTAAAATTATATCTTTCTACGGTACTTAAAATCACACATATTAGCAAATAGAAAAGTACGTTGGATGAAAAATAAAGTCCCGTAGGGAATTGACAAATTCAATTTTAACACATACGCCCAAAAAATGCATTTACCAAAATTCAAAATTACCAGCTATACAACGAAGCGTGCGGTAAAACGTTTAACCGCACGCAACACATTTGCTCAAAAATGCATCTAAGAAAATTCTAAATTACGGGCTATGCAACAGAGCGTGCGGTAAAACATTTTACCGCTTTTCGAAGAGTGGAATAGATTAAGATGTTAATTTTAAGGTCTACCCACCCACCGATGAACCTTGTCAAAGTTGCTATTAACATTTACAATGCACAGTCAAAACTTTAAAATACGATGTCGGAAAAACAATACGATTAATTAATAAATAAACTCACAACTTTAAATGGAATTAAAAACAAAAAAAAAGTTCTAGAAAAGATCTACGTACCCTTAAAATATTAAAATGAATAAATAATACTTCACAACACAAAGGAAACAATAAAAACTTATCACATTTCGTTATTATGATTCACAATATCATGAACATTTCATAAGATTTCAGACAGACATAAGACAATGCAAATTCTAAGTAAAAAATAAAATAATTACAGTACGTAATTTGAAATGACCTGTTGCACCAAACTTTCAGCCAGAGTGACATAACATGACGCCATAATTCACAAAGTATGGAAGCCTGCATCGCGCAAGTGAAATTCGGAAGCTAACAGTCCATATAGGCAATGCTCGACCAACATCAGTTCGGCCGTGGTCCCCGATCTAACATCAGCTCGGGGAAAGATCTTCCCCTGTCGCCTTCCTACGTATTAATCGTTTTTTCAAGAGTAAATACCATTGTTCAACATTAGACAAGTTCGAAACATACTATGTGTATGTTTTATTTTAAGCATTGGTTATAATAATAGGCATAATGTCGGGGTTCAATATAAAATTCCATTAAGTTCATCAGTAAGATTACCAAAAAATTATCAACACTTATATTTTCGTTAAAATTTTTTTTGGTTGTCGTTCAACCAAAAAATTACAAAGATACAGCGCGTCAATGTTTGGGAGCTTGTGACGTCATGCGTCATTATATACCACAGAACACAGAAAGAGATTAGAAGGGCCTTGTGGGCGGGGCAGGCGCGCCACAGTTATATCTGAGCAAATGCTCATAACTTGACCAAAACTTGGTTCTGATTGCGTTCTTTACGCTGATTGGTTCGATTGCTTGTTGTCCGGTCGTTTGATTGGCTGTTACCTATTAGGTAAAAGTGTAGTGGGGGAGACCCTTTCTATGTTCTGTGTTACATACTATGTGTAGTTTCAAACATATTATGAGTAATTATCAATAAATGTATATGTTTAGTCAGGTAACCAGTGATGAGCTCTCCACAGAAGGCAGTACGGGCCGCTGTAGTTACTAGTGTTGTTCTGTTGCTGTGGAAAATACAAAAAGAAATATGATAGAATCGTCTGCATAGAAAATGGTTGTAATTCAACCAGTGCCCTGTTTCACCAAGTCGACATACAAGGGTTAATTTTAAAACACCAACATTTGTTTGCTGGTGTTTTAAAATTAACCCTGTATATATATAACCGACATGTGTCATAATAATGACAAACATTCTGTTGAAATTGTCGATTGTCCATATCTTACATCAACGACAATTGTGTTGTGAAACAAGGGTAATTTTTTAAGACGACATATTTGTTAGTAATTCTTGCCATGAAATCGGGGCTGTATAATGCGATTCAACTAAGAATAGGATCGACTGGGCGCCATTTTGTGATGTCAAAGCTGTCAATTGAAACAAAATAGGTAGAGTGAGCAATAAAAGTTTTTCTTCGATAAAACTTATTTACTAAGATTAAGTGAGAAAAAACATCAGTTTTTTTCAAATAAAATTTGTTTACTAAGATTTTTGTTACACACCGATTTTTAATAACATTTATGACTGTGTGAGTAAAAATATTAATCGGAATCTAGCTCTTCAATTCCGCTCAGCTCTGCATAACTACCAGAGTTGTCATCGTCGTCATGTTTGTTTACCAATGTTTGTTTTTTTTATTCTAGAATTAGCTGAGTGCTAAAAAAGAGTTCCAAGATTTTTTGCAAACCGTACTTTTGAAGCGTCATTTGACAGATGGAGGTCATTGGCTTTCCTATTCTTATTTGAATCGCATTATATAATAGGGTATTTGACAGTATTAAAAATAAAGTGCCAATTGTTAGCATCTGTATTTAGAATGAATATTGGCAGGAGTTTTTACTATTTTTACAGAAAAAATATTCATAATTTTACTAAAATCCCACGATAAAGATAATAGTTTTCTTGTCTTTTATCACGTGACCCAAAACGCTTGGGTTTGGTGGTGGTGGTGGTGGTAAAATGACGTCACACGCAAGTAAACTTCCGGTTAAAGTGTCATTAGATTGTATGGTTTGACGTTTTAATAACAGTCATGTGACATCACACACTAGTAAGACGCCATATTGTCCAGAAAAATGTTTTCGCGGCAACTTTAAAATGGAGTTTTTGATTTGGTTATTTTTACTGAAAATACACAACAGAATGATGAATATCCACTTTTTACTGACTCCATAAACATTAGTCAATCACGTGAGATCGTTTTCTAAAACTTGTCAAATACCCTATTCAAGCAGTGCCCTGTCATCAGTCAACAGAATGTCTGTCATTATATACAGGGTTAATTTTAAAACACCAACAACCTCTTAAGGACCACCCATCAACACGAACAAATTTTATTATGTGACGCAACGCAGAAATCGCGAAAAAGAATCAGCTGTTTCATACATTTCGGTCGATTAGCTGATGCACTTTTGTATGAAACAGCAGATGTTTCCTCGCGATTTCAGCGTTGGTCCCATAATAAAATTTGTTCGTGTTGATGGGTAGAATCACCCCCTAAGAGGTTGTTGGTGTTTTAAAATTAACCCTGTATTTAACCGACATGTGTCATAATAATGACAGACATTCTGTTGAAATTGTCGATTGTCCGTATCTTAACTCAACAACAACAATAGGCTACTTGACACTTTTTGGAAATATGTTTTAAATGGTTAATAATTGTTCAATTAGACCGAAAAAAAATGTATCGTATTTTCTTTTTGACCTAGGAAGCTGCAAAACTTTAATTTTAAAATAGATTTTTCATGGACATACAAAAACGCTGTGGGCCATTTTAGTCTATAGATTATCTATGCTATGACGTCAACAAAACCGTAAACAAACATTCGGAAGCACGTAGGAAATAACCTGAATCTAAATTTGTATTATAAAACCATGATTTCTAAAAGATTTCATGATAAATATAATAATTATCATGATTGTATTATACGAGAATGTAGAAACATTTCGTTAAAGACTCCGGAAAAGTTCTGGTTTAAATTGTCTAGAGAAATACGCATAACTACACATGAACACAGTCATGTTTTAAATTTGCTAAATCCTGTAATTTTACCGTCTGAAAGTCATTTCTTTTAGCAAAAAACACTTCAATGTACTCATTAAATAATATTTAAAGTTTAAAAATACGATTTTTAAGGCTATGAATGCACGTGCTAAGTCAAAGAGTTTTGTCGTTTCTGCTTTCACAAATCCGGCGTCCAGTATTAATTTAGTCAATAAACGGAAATTTTTCTACAAGATGTAAGAGTTTTTAGATAAATTTTAGTCCGACGAAAGACACCACAGTAACACGACAATGACTTTTAGTTGTTTAGTAACACATTTACTAACTTATCGACGTCACAATCATGGTGGACAGCGTTTTTAGGGTTTACAAAGCATAGAGTAAAAAAACATTTTTCAAATTAAATTACTACAGCCATCTTCTAATTTTATGAAGTGAAATCGATGTATTTAGGTTCCTCATACCAAAAATTATAGGAAATATATAATACCAATGTGGTATAGTGATTATTATTATGCAATTAATTAGGTATAGTGCAATTTGACATGAGTCAACTAGCCTATTGTGTTGTGAAACAAGGGTAATTTTTTAAGTCGACATAATTTGTCAGTAATACTTGACAAGAAATCGGGGCTGTATAATTAGTGGTTAAAGGAACTTGCCTTGAAAGTGAAGTTCAACCACAATTATGCGAGGTTCAATGTCTAAAAACATTCAATTAACCTCGTAGTGAGCCTTGCCAAGAAGTACCTTCGTCACACATTTACAGAGAATATTAAAAAAATATCTCTATGTCATCTGTCACCATCTGTCAAACTGGGTATAGCAAGTGACTTTTAAAGTGGAATTGTACTTCCTATAATATTAATAGGGTATTTGACAGTATTAAAAAAAATGCCAATTATTAGCATCTGTGTTTAGAATGAATATTGGCAGGAGTTTATACTATTTTTACAGAAAAAATATTCATAATTTTACTAAAAACCCACGGTAAAGATAATAGTTTTCTTGTCTTTTGTCACGTGACCCAAAACGCTTGGGATTAGTGGAGCCTAAAATGACGTCACACGCAAGTAAACTTCCGGTTAAAGTGACATTAGATTGTATGGTTTGACGTTTTAATGACAGTCGTGTGACGTCACACACCAGTGAGTCGCCATATTGTCCAGAGATACTTTTTTCGCGGCAACTTGAAAATAGAGTTTTTAAATTTAGTTTTTTTTACCGAAATACACAACAATAATGAATATCCACTTTTTATGGACTCTATAAACATTAGTCAATAACGTGACATCGTTTTCTAAAACTTGTCAAATACCCTATTGTAGTGTTTTCGTTGTTATATAGTTACAAAATGGCTCTCCTCGAAAGCATGAAAAAATGAGTTCTTATACAGAAGAATTTATACACACCGAATATTTTTTTCCTTTAATATTTCTGATTTTGCGTTTAAAGAAAAATTTGACATTCCACCACCAGAAAAATTACATACCAAGCCGACATATGTCAGCGAACATCATTGACCGTTGAATTTTAATTAGTAATTTGTTTTCAAATAATAGACAGTTTTTTTTAATTAAACTAATTTAGGATTAATACAATTATTAACAAAATATAATATTATATATAGCTAGCAAAATGACGTTAATTTCAAAAAGATTCCAAATTAATTTTTAGATGTATAAATAAATAAAAAGATAGACAATTAAAAATACTAGATCTTAAAATTTTAATATTTCAGTCAAAGAAAACAAGTTTATTGATTTAATAAAATCAAATACATACATATTTATATTTGTGATGCTTTGGATAATAATTATGTCATAATGAGATTAGTACCTGGGTGTTGATGGGCGCGAACCTGTCGAGTAGGGGGCGGTAAGTGTCCCCCACCGTGAGGATCATGGGCGGCCCGGGTGCCCCCTCGTGCGGGGACAACGGGACTATGCACGTTATCTGTCGGGTACAATGGGAGTATATAAGTTATTTGCGGGGACAACGATACTTATCAAGTTTATAGCGGGACAATGGAGGCGCGTGTTTTATGGGGACAATGGGAACATACTATATGTTGAGTGTTTAATGAAGTAAATAAGGTGACAAAGGGACTATACTAATTATGAGACTATATAAGTTACTTTAGGGACAAAGACGGACTGTATATAATACATGTTATCTGAAGGGACAATGGGGCTATAAAGTAATTTACGGGACTTACAACTGCCTGTTTATTTTACTATTTATAAAGTATGCTCTGATTGTTTCATTATCCATTTTGCGGATGTTGTATTCATTGCGTTAAAATTAAGATAAATATCAGTATATCTCTTAAAAACTCGCAGTGTAGTATAGTGTGTGTGTGTGTGTGTGTGTAATGTATGGAGTATAGTGTAGTGTTTGCACTCACCCGTCTCTCGAAGACTCTACAGACAGTGAGAGGCCGCAGTATAGTGTAGTGTGTGTGTGTAATGTATGGAGTATAGTGTAGTGTTTGCACACGCCCGTCTCTCGTAGACTCTTCAGGCAGTGAGAGGCCGCAGTGTAGTGTAGAGTGTGTGTATAATGTATGGAGTATAGTGTAGTGTTTGCACTCACCCGTCTCTCGTAGACTCTACAGCCAGTGAGAGGCCGCAGTGTAGTGTAGAGTGTGTGTGTAATGTATGGAGTATAGTGTAGTGTTTGCACTCACCCATCTCTCGTAGACTCTACAGACAGTGAGAGGCCGCAGTGTAGTGTAGTATGTGTAGTGTATGGAGTATAGTGTAGTGTTTGCACTTACCCGTCTCTCGTAGACTCTACAGACAGTGAGAGGCCGCAGTGTAGTGTAGTGTGTGTGTGTGTAATGTTTGGAGTATAGTGTAGTGTTTGCACTTACCCGTCTCTCGTAGACTCTACAGATAGTGAGAGGCCGCAGTGTAGTGTAGTGTGTGTGTGTGTAATGTATGGAGTATAGTGTAGTGTTTGCACTTACCCGTCTCTCGTAGACTCTACAGACAGTGAGAGGCCGCAGTGTAGTGTAGTGTGTGTGTGTGTGTGTGTAATGTATGGAGTATAGTGTAGTGTTTTGCACTCACCCGTCTCTCGTAGACTCTACAGATAGTGAGAGGCCGCAGTGTAGTGTAGTGTGTGTGTGTAATGTATGGAGTATAGTGTAGTGTTTGCACTCACCCGTCTCTCGTAGACTCCACAGACAGTGAGAGGCCGCAGTGTAGTGTAGTGTGTGTGTGTAATGTATGGAGTATAGTGTAGTGTTTGCACACCCCCGTCTCTCGTAGACTCTACAGACAGTAAGAGGCCGAAGTGTAGTGTGTGAGTGTGTGTAATGTATGGAGTATAGTGTAGTGTTTGCACTTACCCGTCTCTCGTAGACTCTACAGACAGTGAGAGGCCGCAGTGTAGTGTAGTGTGTGTGTGTGTGTGTGTAATATTTGGAGTATAGTGTAGTGTTTGCACTTACCCGTCTCTCGTAGACTCTACAGATAGTGAGAGGCCGCAGTGTAGTGTAGTGTGTGTGTGTGTGTAATGTATGGAGTATAGTGTAGTGTTTGCACTTACCCGTCTCTCGTAGACTCTACAGACAGTGAGAGGCCGCAGTGTAGTGTAGTGTGTGTGTGTGTAATGTCTGGAGTATAGTGTAGTGTTTTGCACTCACCCGTCTCTCGTAGACTCTACAGACAGTGAGAGGCCGCAGTGTAGTGTAGAGAGTGTGTGTAATGTATGGAGTATAGTGTAGTATTTGTACTCACCCGTCTCTCGTAGACTCTACAGACAGTGAGAGGCCGCAGTGTAGTGTAGAGTGTGTGTGTAATGTATGAAGTATAGTGTAGTGTTTGCACTCACCCGTCTCTCGTAGACTCTACAGACAGTGAGAGGCCGCAGTGTAGTGTAGAGTGTGTGTGTAATGTATGGAGTATAGTGTAGTATTTGTACTCACCCGTCTCTCGTAGACTCTACAGATAGTGAGAGGCCGCAGTGTAGTGTAGAGTGTGTGTGTAATGTATGGAGTATAGTGTAGTGTTTGCACTCACCCGTCTCTCGTAGACTCTACAGACAGTAAGAGGCCGCAGTGTAGTGTGTGAGTGTGTGTAATGTATGGAGTATAGTGTAGTGTTTGCACTTACCCGTCTCTCGCAGACTCTACAGACAGTGAGAGGCCGCAGTGTAGTGTGGTGTGTGTGTGTGTGTAATGTTTGGAGTATAGTGTAGTGTTTGCACTTACCCGTCTCTCGTAGACTCTACAGATAGTGAGAGGCCGCAGTGTAGTGTAGTGTGTGTGTGTGTGTAATGTATGGAGTATAGTGTAGTGTTTGCACTTACCCGTCTCTCGTAGACTCTACAGACAGTGAGAGGCCGCAGTGTAGTGTAGTGTGTGTGTGTGTGTAATGTATGGAGTATAGTGTAGTGTTTGCACGTACCCGTCTCTCGTAGACTCTACAGACAGTGAGAGGCCACAGTGTAGTGTGTGTGTGTGTAATGTATGGAGTATAGTGTAGTGTTTGCACTCACCCGTCTCTCGTAGACTCTACAGACAATGAGAGGCCGCAGTGTAGTGTAGAGTGTGTGTGTAATGTATGGAGTATAGTGTAGTGTTTGCACTCACCCGTCTCTCGTAGACTCTACAGACAGTGAGAGGCCGCAGTGTAGTGTAGTGTGTGTGTGTGTAATGTTTGGAGTATAGTGTAGTGTTTGCACTCACCCGTCTCTCGTAGACTCTACAGACAATGAGAGGCCGCAGTGTAGTGTAGAGTGTGTGTGTAATGTATGGAGTATAGTGTAGTGTTTGCACTCACCCGTCTCTCGTAGACTCTACAGACAGTGAGAGGCCGCAGTGTAGTGTAGTGTGTGTGTGTGTAATGTTTGGAGTATAGTGTAGTGTTTGCACTTACCCGTCTCTCGTAGACTCTACAGACAGTGAGAGGCCACAGTGTAGTGTGTGTGTGTGTAATGTATGGAGTATAGTGTAGTGTTTGCACTCACCCGTCTCTCGTAGACTCTACAGACAATGAGAGGCCGCAGTGTAGTGTAGAGTGTGTGTGTAATGTATGGAGTATAGTGTAGTGTTTGCACTCACCCGTCTCTCGTAGACTCTACAGACAGTGAGAGGCCGCAGTGTAGTGTAGTGTGTGTGTGTGTAATGTTTGGAGTATAGTGTAGTGTTTGCACTTACCCGTCTCTCGTAGACTCTACAGATAGTGAGAGGCCGCAGTGTAGTGTAGTGTGTGTGTGTGTGTAATGTATGGAGTATAGTGTAGTGTTTGCACTTACCCGTCTCTCGTAGACTCTACAGACAGTGAGAGGCCGCAGTGTAGTGTAGTGTGTGTGTGTGTGTAATGTATGGAGTATAGTGTAGTGTTTGCACGTACCCGTCTCTCGTAGACTCTACAGACAGTGAGAGGCCACAGTGTAGTGTGTGTGTGTGTAATGTATGGAGTATAGTGTAGTGTTTGCACTCACCCGTCTCTCTTAGACTCTACAGACAGTGAAAGGCCGCAGTGTAGTGTAGAGTGTGTGTGTAATGTATGGAGTATAGTGTAGTGTTTGCACTTACCCGTCTCTCGTAGACTCTACAGACAGTGAGAGGTCGCAGTGTAGCAGCATCTGCCACTATCAGTTCTCCCGCGCCGGTTCCCACGAACACACGCGACCCACAAACGCATAGAGATAAAACCTGACGGTTGAAAAAGAAATTATTATAGTGTTTAATAGCAGTTAAGAGCCCTTTTACAAAATTGCGCCGCTGCCGTACTAATCAGCGCGTAGGTAGATTTGCACTAGTATATACTGCATTTTACGGGTGATGTTTCGAGTCTTATAAAATAATTGTTAATGAACTAATTATAAAAATATATACATATTTCAGTAGTTCAATGATGGTAGATTAGTTTTATGAAATTTTTTGATAGTAATTCTATTTAATTCAATATCAAAATATGAGGTAAACATGCATTATTTTTTGGGAAAACTCACGGAGGTTAGATATTTTTTCTTTTTGATAATTAATGAGATAGAAAATCAAAATTCTAATACATTATGTTACAACAAAAACATATATCTGATGTCCTAGTAATTAATTTGACCTAATTTATTATACATTATTGAGAGATTCAGGCGTTTTAATTTACATATTATCGTTTGTTCTGTAAACTAGCTGCAGTAGAACGATCAGTACAAAAAAAGGAAAATAGTATTTGCAAATATTCTACAATAATCTACAATAAGAAGAATAATTCTACTGTTAACTTCTATTGGAAATAGTCAAAATCTTTTTTAAGGGGGTAAGTAAATAAGGCGCTCAAAATACGTTTTTTTGCAAAAAATGTGAAAGGGCTATTAAATGCTTGATGAAATTAAGTAGAACATAAAGTAAATTAGGAGTCGAATCATCAACAGCCTATTATTGTCCCCACTGCTGGGGAACAGGCCTTCCTTATGGATGGAATAGGGAGATTCAGCCATAACCCACCACACGGTCCCAGTGCGGATTTGTGGATGCTTACACTGCAGACTGCAGGTGCAGCCGGGACAAACGGTTTATCGTGGCTTCCAAAGCACGGAGGAACTCGTGATAGAATATTTTTGGTGCCCATCCAATGACCGACCACTGCGAAAGTTGCTTAACTTGAATGATCGCAGCCGAAAGCGCTAACCACTTGCGCCTTCGAGCTCCTCGAATCGAACTTTTAGCATTTTCACAGCAACATTACGTATTTTATTAAAATATTATGGATTTCTTCATTCAAATTTTTTTAAATCGTCATTACATCCAAAATATAAAATCATTCGCTGACCCAGCGAACTTCGTACCGCCAAAAAATAGGAACAGGTGGTAGAAGATAAATTTAGGGTTGTATGTATATTTTAATATCACATTATAATAATAAAAAAATAATAATAAATAAATACACCAATAGGGATGATGACTAATTTTTTTTCTTCGTTTATCAGGTAGATTATCAAAAAGTATTGGACACGTATTTTTTCTTTTTTCACATAATATAAATATTGCAGAGATACATTGATTTGAAAAGTCACATGACGTCACTTTTGAGTACACTTTTAAGTGAAAATTCACTCAAAAGTGATGTCACGAGCCCCTGCTCCCAAACTTTGACGCGCTATAACTTTGTCATTTTTTGATTGATTGCCCAAAGAAAAAATACGTGTCCATTATTTTTTGATCATCTAACTGACGGACTAAATAGAATTTCGTTTACTGTACCCCGTCATCGTGCCTATTAGCCTAGCCCCAAAGTAAGCACTGTAGAGGCTTGTGTTATGGGATACTAGGGTAACGGATAGAATACATTTGCTGTACATATATAAGTATATTTATATAGAAATACATATTAAACATCCATGACTGGAGTACAAATGCTCGTATTCATCACACATACATCTACCCCCACCGGGATTTGAACCCGGGACCTCTCGAGTTGGCGACACCATGAAACCCGGCGTACAAACCACTCGGCCACGGAGATCGTCAAATAGAGAATAATAAAAATAATATTGTCCTAAAAAATTTTAGGGGTGTGTAATGTAGTGTTCTATCAATTTCCTGGGATAACATTCCTCCTAACCTATATGAGAGCACTACGTTACAATACCCAATAGTTTGAATTTTGGCGCGAAGGCGCATTGTAGGTTTCAGAACACTACAGGTGGACAATCATTATCACTTAAGGATATGAAATATAGATAGTAGCCGATTCTCAGACCCACGGAATATGCATATAAAATTTCATAAAAATCGGTCAGGCCGTTTCGGAGGAGTATGGTAACTAACATTGTGACACGAGAATCTATATATATAAAACTCAAAGGTGACTGACTGACATAGTGATCTATCAACGCATAGCCCCAACCACTGGACGGATCGGGCTGAAATTTGGCATGCAGGTAGATGTTACGACGTAGGCATCCGCTAAGAAAGGATTTTGATCAATTCTACCCCCAAGGGGATAAAATACCGAAGCGAAGCGGGGGCCACTAGTTTAAAAAAAAAAAAAAAAAAAAAAGGCGTGTGCGTCTCGGGATGCACTACAAAATTGATAAATTAAACTAATCTAAGCGACGCTGTGGGTCAGAGTGAGAGAGGAGAAGCCTAGTATCCCATAACACAAGCCTACAGTGCTTACTTTGGTACTAGGCTAACTGGTAAAAAAAATGGTTTCTAATACAAACTTCCACCCCCTCCACGGATGATTTCCGAGATGAAAACTATCTTATGTCCTTCGCTACAGCTCCAATTATCTCTGTACCAAATTTCATCTAAATCGGTTCAGCGGTTTGAGCGTGAAGAGGTAACAGACCGACACACTTTCACTTTTACAATATCAGTATACTTAGTACGAGTTTTACAATTACGAAAAATATGATAGTTTTCGTGAGCTCGCACTCGTACTAAGTGTACTGATTTTATTGTTTTCGTTTCAATAAAAAAAACAGTGTTTGAATTCTATCATTAAAACATTTGCGTCTTCTTAAATTTACTTTTCACCAAAATGAACGTAGAAACAAAATTCACAATTACGAAAACTATGATAGTTTTCGTGACCTCAAACTCGTACTAAGGGTACAGTACCCCTAGCACGAACCATTAACGAATGCGATAATATGACATATCGGACTCGCAAACGATACGAATTCGATTTGGGTACAGTACTCTTAGCACGAACCATTATCGAATAGTTGAATTCGATCTATTTTATACGTGTACTGATTTTTATAATAAATAATAATAATAATAACGTTTATAATAATAATAATTTTTAGTTCTCGTCACGTCCGTTGTGGCGCTGCTGTTCAAGTTTCCATACAAAATTTGACAATGCCATTTCGCACTCGCAAACTGTTTGAATTTGATTTTGGTTCGTGTTATGTGGTCAGCGCGTTCGGCTGCGATCGTTGAAGTTAAGCAACTTTCGTAGTGGTCGGTCATTGGATGGGTGACCAAAAATTTACTATCTCGAGCTCCTCCGTGCTTAAAGCACATTAAGTCGTTGGTCCCGGCTGCATCAGCAGTTGTTAGCACCCGCCAATCCGCACTGGGCCCGCGTGGTGGGTCATGGCTCAAACTCCCTAATCCATCCATAGGGAACGCCTGTGCCCCAGCAGTGACAACATTAATAGGCTGATGATGATGATAGATACATACCTCGCATTGATTGTTATCTCTAAGTTCCGGCATTGAATGAAGACTTTCAGAGCAAGGGGCCAACTTGCTGCAGTCCAAGCGAGCAGTTATTTCACGTGACACCGCAGACCACTGGTACACTGTCACGCCTGCGGGGAAACCGAGTGTACACTACACTGAACTCTAGAGTACACTACACTGTACACCAGAGTACACATCACTGTACACCAGAGTACACTACACTGTACACCAGAGTACACTACACTGTACACCAGAGTACACATCACTGTACACCAGAGTACACTACACTGTACACCAGAGTACACTTTACTGTACACCAGAGTACACTACACTGTACACCAGAGTACACTACGCTGTACACCAGAGTAAAAAATAAAATAGAGGTAAAATAAGACATGGTGATAATAAACTCAAAAGCTTTCGAAATGTATCCGTAGATATGCTCATTCTAAAATTATAAAAAAAATATCTTCTTCTGTTCTCAAACGTTAGTATTTAGGATAATCATAATAAATGTATGAACCGGAAATCTTCCTTTTTTCTATATCTATTTAAAAAAAACAACAGCGCAACAATATTTTTGCTATCCATGTCACTATTACTAAAACGCATCCAAAACCGTTGTAGGTTACCTTAACCAAAACTTAGCCCCGCGAAATCGTATCGATAGCTCCTGCGATGCGAGGTCTCACCGCAGTTTTGTTTGGGAGCCCCTAAGGTATATTTCTTTTGACATTGTGGTTTACTAACAATCGACGAATAAAAAAACGACGGGTTGCACTCCGAGAGTGCCGTCCGAAGTAAAAACTTGAATATTAACGTTGTGCATTTTTGATATTTTGGACTGGTTAGGGAATAATTTTGCACGAATTGTTTTAATTATCAGTATAAAAGTACTATCATGTATGTGGTAGAATACAATATTTATTTATTGCGCTATCGTACACAAACATGACAATTTATATTACATTAAAAAAGTTTATCTCTCAGAAAAATCAACTTACATGAATCACGTTTAAGCGCACTTAAACGCGACATCTATTGTAAAAAATGCATTTTCTTTGCAATAAAGCTGCCACGTGGACGTCCTACATAGCGACTTATTATTATAATACGGTAAAATAAAATATTACTATGTTTCGTCCAATATATTGAAAGTCAACAACCTCTCCAATTTTCTTGTGTGTCATGATGCGATCATCCCACGTGTTTAACCTGACGCGAGTTTAACATTTTTTACCCATACAAAAAAAAATACAACGCCGCTAAAGAAGTTTTCACTTCAAAAAATGATTATGAATAATTATAGTTACTTACCAGGGCTCGTATATCCATAGACGTAAGGCTGACGGCGGTGAGCAGCCAGTAAGGTAGGGCGGGCAGACACATCGACGGTATGGGCGGCTCGGACCCCGCCCGCCCAAATGGAGTATGCGTGTAGGCCGTCGCCGCCCGCCCACACGTCGCAACTAGTAATCATAATCATAATCAAAATCATTTATTCAGTTTAGGCTGTTACAAGCACTCATGAATGTCTAGAAGCTACGCCATCGGTTCGTACATCTACGGCGGGAGACCTTGTACTGTGAAGAACCGTCAAGAAACTCAGCAAGGGCTGTTTTTTTCTCCCTGTTTTATTATTTACAGAGTCACAGACAGAGTCGTCAAATTGAAAAATGACTTCAGAGGTGATTCATGAAGTCACTTTTCATTACATAATTATTAAATATACATTAATTGTTTACCTGCATTTTGATTGCTGTGTCATACAGTATAAATACAAATAGTGTTATTTATATTCAGTGTGACTAAACATTAACTTCAATATTAAGGAAGTTAGGGCAGACTCATCTCCGCTGGCAGCACCCGTTCACGAGCATGACGCATGAACCAGCCATCGCTTCGCTCAACCATATTTTAGGGAACGTAACGACCCGCCTCACACGACACCGCCGAAGAGACTATTATGAAAGCATGACTACCCATACTAACTACAACATATTTACTTAAATTAAGGTCATTTACCTGTAAGACACATCAAACAATTACAAAAACAAAGCAATAAATAAAGCTCACTTTTAATTTGAAATAATAAAAAATAATCCAAATATTCAATTTAAATTACTACTATACGGGGGGGGGGGGGGGGACTACGATAGGGGGATTAAGAAAATTATTGCACATATGTGAGTCTTATGCTGTGGAACATGGTTGAAAATATAATGCATCTTAAAATTTCACTCCCATATTTCTTTCATAACGCGCCCGCGGCCAACTTCATGGAGTAACTTTTGCGTTACAGTGATGCGCGCGCATCTTAAAATTTCACTCTCATAATTTTTTCATACACGCCTAAAGAAGTATAACTTCAATTAAAAAATACTTTCAACACTCACATCAGTTAGCCTAGCCCCAAAGTAAGCCCCAAAAAAAAAAAAACCACATTTTTTTTCCTGCCATTTATACTCCAGTCATGGATGTTAAAAATGTATTTCTATATAAATATACTTATAATATGCATCAGTATATGTATTCTATCCGTTACCCCAGCATCCCATAACACAAGCCTTACAGTGCTTACTTTGGGGCTAGGCTCATTAGTATTTATTTATTTTTGAAGTAATACTTCTTTAGTCGCGTTATGAAAAAAATATGAGAGTGAAATTTTAAGATGCGCGCGCAACACTGTAACAGAAAAGTAACACCATGAAGTCGGCCGCTAAACCGCACATTACTCGTAAGTCTCGAAAAAAAGCTTCCAACAAAATAGTAATAGGATCTCTTAGTCGCACATGTTGGGACGCTCGTCGCCTCTGATCACTGTTTTCATATTTATGATATTTATTATTTAATAAAACTGTAAGAATGTGCGGGAGGGCGAAGGGGGAGTGTGAGAAGACTGACGTCAAATAAAGATAGGCGTAGGTAGAAAATACTTATATTGTGATTACTATTCAATATTTGTAGGAGAAATGGTATTACTGTATCCCACAAACGTGGAAGTACATGTATACTATTATCAAGACACTAAGACGTCCCACGTGGTGGAAGCGTATAGCGTGCAAGACAATAGGCCCTACCTACGAAGCGATGACTTGTTTTTTTTTTTTTTTTGATTGTGTATGCTGTTGGTCGCAGGTGACCTTTACAGCGTCACCGGGTTTGGGGACGGCAAGATCCTAAGGGGACCTCAAGCCGAGAATTGGCGAGTGCCTCTAGAGGTATTCCAGGCGGATGGCGTCTCCCCACGGGGGGAGTCTCCACTCCGTCTGGAGCCTCTAGACCACTCGAACCTGAGGGGGTCGGCTCAACTAGAGGGCGTCTCTGAGACTCGGACCTCGGCTCTAGTTAGCGGTTGTCGTGGGGGGGGGGGGGGGACCAGGTACGTACCTGTACCTGGTATAGCGTGTCGTGTGTAGACCGGGTCTTCGCACTCTTATCCTACGGGTGCGGTGTCTGCCTAATGCTAAGCTAGTGTGTACGTTTGCTAGCTGTGTAGTGTTGGTGTTTGTGGCCTGTGTGGGAGGAGTCGGAGGCGCGTTGGCGCGTGTGATTTCGTCGTCTAGGTAGTCTAAGACGTGCCTAGGCCGACGGAATCGGAGGGACCTACGATTGGAGGACGGGAGGGCGGACGTATGATAACTACTCGCTTTAACTACTAAGGCACGGTAATAATATCATACAGTATTCTATTTTCATACAAACGGTCGGAAAGCGAGTCATACCTACGCCACTCGAGTTCGATGTGCTCTCGGCGTGCACCCAGTCGCGAATGCGCCGGCGCCGCGCCGCAACTACGACCGAACGGTCTGAATTGTTTTTTATGCAGTTAGCCGTGCTTAAACATGCGTTTTGTATTGTAAATATTTGATTTAATTAAGTAGATACCTACATAATTAAGTATGGAAAAGAACAAACTACGATCAATATCGTACAACAGCACAATTGCTGTTTTTGGTTGCTTGAACTCTTCAATAACACACCCAGAGATATCATTTTTTAAATTACCATAAAATATTGGAAAGGTGTCTTACCTTTATAGAATATTTTTTATATACCTATCTACTAGTACGTTATTTGTTTCTAATATTTAGGTATTTCGGTTTTTCCATCGGGCAAAATATCTGGTATAATATATAAATAAGTGGTTAGGATGAAAAAAGAGACAAAACAAAACTACATAAAATACTGTAGGCTGGCGGCCCTACCGCGTGCCAAAACAGCGCTCGGTGTAGGCATTTATTTTCAAGGACAGGGCGGAGTCACAATACTGTATAGATAATATTACCGTGACTAAGGGGTTCGGGTGATGCGCCGCTTTATCGAAGTAACGCCTCGAGGCGTCCTTCATATACTTCGCGATGGAGTCTAATTTGAGGTCGCGATGCAAATCGATGTTGCGCACGTACCACGGGCAACCCGTGGCACCGCGCAACACACGATTTTGCAGCGTTTGGAGTGGTTTAAGACGCGACGGAGGTACGTGGGCGAAGCAAACACTCGCGTAGGTCATTATAGGGCGGATGCAAGTTTTGTAAATTGTCAACTTATGTCTAAGTGACAACTTATTACGCTTCCCTATAGATGACTTGGTCAATTTCCCAAGAACACCTTATACAAGTGGTGTCAGTATAGTATAGCACGATTCACATGCGTACAGCGCCATCTAGTAGCGGTCGGCGTGATGATATTTGATCCTATGATGTGCCATACAATCGGTGTTGGTATAGGATAGCACGATTCACATGCGTACAGCGCCATCTAGTAACGGGCGGCGTGATGATATTTAATACTATGGTGTTACAAAACTTATTTACTTAGATTAAATGAGAAAAACCATCAGTATATTGTTTTAAACTGAACTTAATTGACTGTGTTAACTATCCTTTTCCAGTCCTTTTATTATTTTATTGTAATTATTAATTATTTGCATGCAATTAAAAAATATTTTTAATGATGCTAAAGAAGTATAACTTCTCACGCGCGTACATAAGTTACACGCATCCATTTTTTTATTTATTTATTGTGACACGAGATTTTTGAAGTTATACTTCTTTAGGGGCGTTATGAAAAAAATATGAGAGTGAAATTTTAAGATGCGCGCGCATCACTGTAACACAAAATTTTAACAGCATGAAGTTGGTCGCTTTAGCGACCAACTTCATGCGTTACTTTTGTGTTTACCGCACATTAAGAAAATCTACCAACAAAATAGAAATAGAATCTCTATTTAGTGGGTGCTAACGACTGCATTGTGAAGGCCTATCAAAAGTATTTATTAATCTGGAACAACGAAACCAAGGCGCGATTCAGGAGACTACAGCGCCATCTCTTGACCATTGGTGTAGTAGAACCAAAAACCACATCTTTATTTTTTGTAATAAAGTAACAGTTATAGGTATTCATATTTATAATATTTATCCACATGTTTCTAGTTTATATATTCGGATTACGTGTTTGAGTTTCATACAAGTGCAAATCACATATGTTCTAATAAATTATATTCAGTAGCGATTTTAATTGAATATTTTGATTATTTATTTATTTTTTCAAATTAAAACTGAACTTTATTGACTGTGTCCTTTTCCAGACTTTTTATTAATTTATTGTAATTAATTATTTGCATGCAATTAAAAACTAATTTTAAACGATGCCAAAGAAGGATAACTTCTCACGCGCCTACATAAGTACACGCACCCATTTTTTTTTAAATGAAATTCATTTCATAGTTAAATTTACGCATGTTTAATATGTGGAGGTTTTTAATTGGCTTTTAGACATTGTATTATTTTTTATTCAATATGCTATTAATAGCTGTACTTTTTAAAGCTCTCTAAACTAAAATAAATAAAGATACATATTTAAATGAACATAATAACATAGTGATTGATACCCAAATAATACCATTGGTAACCTTACCTTACCTTTAGTTAAACCTTACCTTTTTGGGGGTAATTTAAATATTTCCCATAAATAAATAAATGACACGTACCCCTGAGGAGCTCGATGGCGCGAGTGGTTAACGCATGCGGCTGCGATCGTTGAAATTAAGCAACTTTCGCAGTATCCGGTCATTGGATGGGTGACCAAAAATCTTCTATCTCGAGCTCCTCCGTGCTTCAGCAGGCACGTTAAGCCGTTGGTACCGGCTGCATCTGCAGTCGTTAGCACCTGCCAATCCACACTGGGCCCGCGTGGTCATGGCCCAATCTCCCTTTAGTCCTGTGCCCCAGCAGTGGGGATATTAATAGGCTGATGATGATGATGAAGACATACCCTTGCGGCGTAGATACGGCAGCGAGGCAGGCGAGGCTGGTGGCGGCACCCAACTCGGATAATACGAAGCCCCCTTCAGCACCCGGCCGGTGGGAAGTCACCAAGAATAATCTGATAGACAATGCATTTATCACAATTAGGGGCTTACTTAGATTAAAACAAAAAGGGAAGATACGGCACTCGCGGCCCAAAGTGATCCGCTTAAATTGTGGTGCATGACCACAATTCGCTTTAGTTACAATTGGACATTCAAACACGCTGCATGTGCACTCAGTATAACAATATTGCGTATATTCTGTGTTATAAAGATAAAAGTATGCCTTCGATGCTTTTATAAAGAATACAAATAGTTCATAATCAAATAAGAAATGCCTCGGCAACACCATCATTGTTTTAATCTAAGGTGGCTAATGATAATAACCTCATACCACGCGAACATATAAATGTCTAATTAAACGATCAATTTGCTACATCTGTATTTTTTTTTATGTGACCCAATTTTTTTATTTGAGAAAATCAACTGGACCTATATATGAGGCTGGATTGGAGATAGCATCTTACCCCCCAAGTCAAGCGTGCGTAAAGAAGTTTCACTTCGAAACTCCGTCTTTATAGTATTAAATACACATTATTGATCCCCCAGCATGAGCACCGTGATATGATATATAACGCGTTTTTATCACGCTCAATAGGCTAGTTGACCCTTTTTGGAAAAAGGTTTTAAATGGTTAATAAATGTTCTATTAGACCGAAAAAAAATGTATTGTATTTTTTTGAGACCTAAAAAGCTACAAATATTTAATTTTAAAATAGATTTTTCATGGACATACAAAAACGCTATCGGCCATTTTAGTCTATAGATTATCTATGCTATGACGTTAACTGCAGTAAACACATAGAGAAAGGTAAATAAACAAAAATTCGTAAGAAAATAACTGACTTTATAATAAACAAAAGATGATTTCTAATAAATACCCCGAAAAATAAAGTAATTATTATTATTGTATTGTACGGGAATATAAAAACACATCCTTGAAGATTCCAGGAAAGTTGTGAATTAAAAGTGCCGAAAGAAATTAACCTACGCAACTTTATTACACTTATTCATATGTTGTATCAGTTTTATGTTTATTACTACATTGTAATACTAAATACACTGTACTTACATAGATGCCTTGTCAGAAATCGGGGTATAGTGAAATAAATTCACCAACCATGAATGCGTCAATTCTTGGCAGATTTGTGTTTTCTGTTTTCACAAAGCCGGCATCCATGATTAGTTTTTCCAAAAAAAAAACAGTAAACGGAAACTTTTCTAAAGTTAAAAGTGTTTTATGATAAATTAAGTCAGACGAAAGAATCCACCCACAGTAACACGCGAATGACATTTAGTTGTTTACCATAAGAGACGTCACAATCATGGCGGATGTGGCGAATAGCGTTTTTAGTGTTTAAAAAATATAGACCAAAAAATATTTTTTTAAATTAAATTTCTACAGCAATCTTCTGCTTTTATGAAGTAAAATCGATATATTTAGGTTTCTTAGATCAAATACTTTAAAAAATAAACATTTATTTAATACAATTCGACATGAGTCAACTAGCCTATTGTCAAATTACTTTGGAGTTTGACAGTTAGACGAGACTAAAAAATACGATACAATGTAAATTGTGGTACTCATGGTACGGAGACTGAAGTGTAGAATAGTGTATTGTAATTTAGTGTAGTGTAATATACTAACCTGCCACATTCCAGAGCTAGCGCGACCCTTTGCAATCGTTGCAGCGGCAGTAACGCTACCACGGGGGAGGGAGATCCTCCCACCACATCACATACGCACATACCCCATAGCAAGGAGCAAGAAGATGCACTGACACACAAACAGAACATGTCAAGAAAACTCGAAATTATGACCAAATTACTAAACGAATTTTCGACGAATTAATAAGCTTTTTAATTAAGCCGCTCGCTGGTGAATATTGGCTACCATGGATGTATAGTACAACTCTTTTGAATCGTCCAAAAAATTTTTTTCCCTACCACTCGTTATGGACATATTTTTTAGCTGCAGAGAAAAACGAGCGAAAAAAACTCCACAACATTAAAAGTCTAATGTAACAACATTTACAAATCATTATGTTGTTACAACGTCAATACAATTATGATTTATTTAATATAGAAAACCTGTTGGAATGATATATGACATAAAATTAGTTATAAAATCGCAACGAATGAACCGATTTTGATGATTTAACAAGTATATTAATTAAAAAGATTATTAAATCATTATACTGTTCATTATGAGTCGACTTGTGGACCTAGTAATGATCCTCATTGAAATTAAACAAAGTAAAAACGATGAATTTTTCAACTCTCTTTTGAAATTCCACAAAACAAAAGACAGAAAATTGTATGAGAAGTGTAAAAAATTAATTTCTAATATTGAATGCGCTTGCGTCTTTTTACATATTCAGCCTAATACCATAACCTAATCTAATAAATCAAAAAATGAAAGTTTACTATAATGTTGATACTTTAAATTTTCATAAACACATTCACTTTACACAGGAAATTGTACCCTATTCATATAGCAATAAGAGTCACCTGTATGCCGAGACTCTTCCAGCGCTGTCTCCTAGCCACAGCTTGCTCCCCACTCGGCATATGGCGGTGACACATACTGGCTCGCCATTGGGAGACTTGTCTGTGTAAATCAATTATATTAAATACCCTAGATACACCACGTGCGCTCAAAATGTGTCCCAATCAAGAAGTGCTTGAACACCACTCAAGCACTTCTTGATTCACAGTCACGCGCGAACCGTTGAAAAGTCAACATGCTGCAGAGGTCCGTGAAAAAATGCGAAAAAATACTTATAGTAAGTTAAGTATCTAATCAAAGTTTATTCTAATACTGACTAGTAGTCAGTGACTACAAACCGATTTAGCAGAAAATATTTATGCTATTTAAATGCATAGTCAGTAATATAGCCGTCTCTTTTCCTCGCGGTCCGTACCTGCTATTTTGCTAACAGCGAATTCAGAATTGCGCGTAGAAACAAAAAAATAAGGTCTATATTCTTCCGCATATAGCAATCAGTCGTAAAATTTTTCGAAATGCAAGTGAAACTGTCATAACTGTTTGACACATGCGTTTTAATTAAGACCTTATACACTTTGCATTAAAGGTGACTTTATATGTTTCAATAATGCCTTATATTGTTTTTGAATACGCGATCATCTTACGGAGCTCCGTGGATCCTCCAATGTACCTTTTAGACAGGTTTCGGCCACGATTTTGTTCGTGATGTTGTATCGAACGTATTTAATATGAAAATAGTAACAATAATTCGATAGCCACGGAGGACTACCCACCCGTTAGTGCATCTCAATGGTACACTAAGGGAAAGACCTCCATAGATGCAGTCATCTCACTTTTTAGATAAAAAGTTACTAAAAGGCCTGCTCATGTTGGCTTCGGCCCCATGAACGCCGCAAAAAACCGGATTCCCATGAACCCGTGGCTGAAAAGCGACCAACATAATAACAAAAAAATATTTATTAAGAACTTTAACAAAATCTAAGGTCTAATGAAGTATTTGTCATTTTATTATACGACTGCCTCCAAAAAAACCACTGTGCTTATGACCGCACGACTGAAGTGAAACTTCTTTAGCTCCATGTGTATATATTTATGAATATATGTGTACACTATATACATGTATGTACATATACAAAAGAGGAAGAAAGAAAATGTGCGTGCGCACTGCTTTCTCTTGCTTATATCCCCCACACAACTCCCGTTAGTCTCGCCCGATCACACTTTTCGTAACGCGTAACGCGTTCGCCAGATAACTCCCCAAGTGTGCGTATAAAAGTTTCACTTAAAAAAAGAGTGGTAAGGTATTCCACAACAACTTCTAAACACCTGAACCGATTTAGATGTGTGTCGATTCTTAAAATCCTTTCACCATCCCGGGTAACATACGATACCTAAGCTCGATGGCGTGGGTGGTTAGCGCGTTCGGCTGCAATCGTTGAAAATAAGCAACTTTCGCAGCGGTCGGTCATTGGATGGGTGACCAAAAATCTTCTATCTCGAGTTCCTCCGTGCTTCGGAAGGCACGTTAAGCCGTTGGTCGCACTGGGCCCGCGTGGTGGGACATGGCCCAATCTCCCCATTCCATCCATAGGGAAGGCCTGTGCCCAGTGGGGACATTAATAGGCTGATGATGATGAAACTGTTAAGAACCCTTTCACATTTTCTGCAAAATATCGTAATTTTTGAGCGCCTCGTTTACCCCCTTTGAAAAGATTTTGACTATTTCCAATAGAAGTAAACAGTAGATTTATTCTTCCTTTTGTAAGTTTATGTAGAATATTTGGAAATACTATTTTCCTTTTTTTGTACTGATCGTTCTACTGCAGCTAGTTTACGGAAAAAACAATAATATGCACAACTTCAAACGCCTGAACCTCTAAATAATGTTCAATAAATTAGATCAAATTAATTACTACGACATCAGAAATATATTTTTGTTGTAACATAATGTATTATAATTTTGATTTTTCATCTTATTAATTATCAAAAAAAAAACATCTAACCTCCGTGAGTTTTCCCAAAAAATAATGCAGGTTTACCTCGTATTTTGATATTGAATTAAATAGAATTACTATCAAAAACTTTCATAGAACTAATCTACCAGCATTGAACTCCTAAATTATGTATATATTTTTATAATTAGTTCATTAATAATTATTTTATAAGACTCGAAACATCACCCGTAAATGCAATATATACTAGTGCAAATCTACCTACGCGCCGATCAGTACGGCAGCGGCGCAATTTTGTAAAAGGGCTCTTAAAATCTTACTTACCAGATTGTAAGGGCAGCGTGTGTTGCTCGCTGCACCTGTTAGACTCCAGCACTATGGAACGAGCTCGTCCTGGGGTTCCACCTAGCCAGACTTCCCATCCTCCTCCACCAGACTCTGGGTGAAGGAAATAATAATAAAAAAATATGTGTGGCACTCGGGGACTGCCGCGGTAAAGCTATTGCATACCATTATTTATCAACTTACGCAATTATAATCATTTATTTATTTTATTTATGCAGATTTTCTTTTTCTTTGATATCAATTCAAGATTTTTATTTGATATTAATAGATGGCGAGGTAGGCCTTATGATATTTTATTGGGCAAGCACAGCAAAAAACAGCATTGCCCGGCGCCAAAAAACTTCCACAGTTTACCATTTTTAGTCCAAAAATTTAAATTATAATTATAAAGTGTCAATAAAAGGGAGACAAATAAAAATAAAAAATACGAGTGCGGGATTTGAACCGACGACCGCGGTGATGCGTCGAAGTTGAGTTCGTGGCAAAAATTTAACACACTGCGCCGTTTTGATCGATACTGGAAAGGCGAAAATTGTGTTCATATGCACTGTTGTCAGGTTATTTTCGTTACAGATTTTTTGATTCAGTCTCCGCGCTCAAAGCCCGCGATAAAATCTATGCAATAGCTTTATAAATATTTCCAACACTCACACCAATTAGCCTAGCCCCAAAGTAAGCACTGTAAGGCTTGTGTTATGGGATACTAGGGTAACGCATAGAATACACAAACAGTGCATATATAAATATATTTATATAGAAATACATATTAATCCCCTCATCTGTGTTAACAAAATGGCCGTCAAACCCTTTAGGTTCCCACGCTCCACAAAAATGTAATATTTCGATTACTACTGAATCTATTGTCTTCATTTATGTCTTAAATCAATCTTTAATAGTTACTGCATCAATTTCTATGTATCTATTCTATATCTTTACATGGTGCCGTGTATGTGTGGCAGAAGTCCGGCACTTCCACAGACAGCGGTTTTTGACGTTGGCAGAACGCCTTTTACGCAGACCACCTGTTAAACATCCATGACTGGAGTACAAATGCTCGTATTCAGCACAAAAACATCTGCCCCCACCGGGATTCGAACCCGTGACCTCTCGAGTCGGCGACACCATGAAACCCGGCGTTCAAACCACTCGCCCACGGAGGTCGTCAAATTATACTTATAGGTTACTTGATAATATGCGAAGAATGCACCAATTTTTGAAAGACTAATTGGCGGATAAGGTAGGACTAGAGTAGAAGAAGGTATAGTTAGCTGGGACCAAGGTAGATGAAGGTAGAGTAGGGTAGGGCCACAGTGGAGTATGGCAGGATTAAGAGGGCATAAGGAAGAATGAAGTTAGGATCAAGGTAGACGAGGATATAGTAAGGTAGGATCAAGGTACGTTGCAGATAGAATAAAGTATCACCAAAATAGATCAAAACATTCTTATCAGTGACGATACGTATAGATGGCAGCAGTTACCAATATAGGGAACTTCAAGGCGACAGATATAGCTGCCAAGGTAACTTTATAGAGGAGAAGGTACACCGAAGTAGGGTTGAAGTATAGTGAGGAACGACTAGAGTAGACAAATATACACGAACAGAGATCATGGTAGACGAAAGTAGAACTAGAAGGATTAAGGTAGTTAAGGTAGATAAAGGCAGGCTCAAAGTAGACCAGGGTAGACTTAGCTAGGAAAAGGTCGAGTTCGGTAGGATCGAGAGTATGCAGATAGACCAAGGTAGGCCAAAGGTAGAGCAAGGTAGGCTAGGGTACAACAGGGTAGGCGAAAGGCAGACAATAGGCACAGCTGCAGCAGCACTGGGCTCTGGCCCCGTATACATGGCAGCAGTGACAAAAGCAGGGAATTCCGGGGCTGCAGATATAGCTGCTAGGCCAGTAACTATACATATGTATATAGGTTGAGGAAGATCAAAGTGGGGTTAAAGAATACTGAGGTAGGATAAAGTTCAGAAGGTAGACTAGGGTAGACTCAATTTAGATGAAGGTAGACAAGAGTGAGAACAGTGGAACTAAAGTAGAGATTGATCGACAAAAGTAAAGTACGAAAGGACTGAGGTAAACGAATAAGGTATTTGAAGGTAGGGTTAAGGTAGAGCAACGTAGACTACTATAGACGAAGGTTTGGCTAAGGTACAATAAGGTACGACCAACATAGCATGAAAATAGCACAAAATAGTACCAAAATAGATTAAAACATTAAAAGTTAGAGTTAGGTAGGATCAGGAGTATGCAGATAGACAAAAGGTAGAGCAAGGTAGACTAGGGTATAACAGGGTAGATAAAAAGGAGACACTTTGATTGAAGTAGAACAATGTATAGTTACCAGTAACAATAGGCACAGCTGCAGCAGCACTGGGCTCTGGCCCCGTATACATGGCAGCAGTGACCAAGGCAGGGAATTCCGGGGCCGCAGATATAGCTGCCAGAGCTGCGCCTGTGGGACGCAGTTCAGGCCTACCGCTCCAGCAACGACGCATCGTTTGGACTATGTTGCAGGGATACGACAGTTCCTGGGGGATTGAGAAAGGATACTAATGATAGAGGGGTTTTTTTTATAGATAGGTCCGACAAATGACTCCACCCCACTGATGTTAAGTGCCGGTGAAGTCCAGAAGTGAAGATAGCTGATACAGCAGTTCTACCTGCCACACCAGCCATCCTCACCCTGCCGGCCTGCATGTTGCTTCTTCACGCCTCTTTTAAAGGATCCGAGGTTGTAAGAGGGAGGGAACACGTGAGCGGGCAGAGCATTCCATTTACGGATAGTGCGACAAAGAAATAGAGTCACCAAATTTCTTTGTACGCGTTGGATTTTTGAAATATTTCTCCACAAGTACACTAATTTCTTAATTATTTATTTATTTTTATTTGGGTAACATTGTATACGCCATTTGTGCATGCATAGTAACATAAATTGAAATACTATGTTACGTGACTAATTATAACAGCAACAAATAAAACAAACTTGGAAATTGTAGTTCATATTTGTGAAAATAGATGGCGCTGTCGTTCTTTGCATCGCACCAGTAAATTTGTTTTGAGCTACATACGCAAAACGTCACCAAATTAAAAAATAAATTAATAAATAAATTTATGGTCAAACAAATTCCCCCTTGGTTTCATTTCCGTTCTTTTGCACCTAAGCTCTCGGATTCAAGAGTCATTTTGGCTTGAACAAACATACAGTTCTACACAATTCAATTGAGTAACACTTATTACTTGACAATAAACTAGGTAAGTTTCCATAGACTGAAATATTTATACAATTACATATTTTACTTAGAGTTAATTAGCGGTGGGTCGTTCTCAAATTTTCTGACGACGAAACGCAACCGTTTTCTCTTAAACGAAAACTAGTCCTCGAAACGGTTCTCGTTCGCAACTGGTTTTGGTTGCGGCTGGGCGACGCAACGAATCGACACGCGACGGTCGAACGAATGTAACGCAACGAAACTGAACTAAATGAAATCTTGTTAACGTTCCTTTCGTTGCTGCGAACGAGACGACGAAACGTCGAAATAAATGTAGTGTTGTACGATAATCGACTTTAAATGTTCAATAATAAAGATTATATTATTGCAACATCAAAGCTTAATTATCATAGAACGAAACGGCCTCATATCATTGCGTTCTATTGTAGACTGTATCAACTTGTAATAAAGTACATATTGGCGTGCAGATAATCAGAGGACTAGTTGTTGGACGAAGACTGTTTTGATCCGAAACGTAAAACGGTTCTATAGTCGCGGAACACAAAACGGTCCTTGAAACCGGTTCGTCTTTAGAAAACTCACACCTAAAGTTAATACAATTTAGTTATGAATACAACAAAGATCATGATAAGTAAAATTATATTTAAAGTTATCATCTACACAAAACAAACAATAAATATTCTAGAAAGATAAACATATTTAATAAAAAAAGCGTTTGAATGATGCATCGTATAAATTAAAATTGTAGGTGAAGGTAGAGTAAGGTGGACTAGTGTAGACGAAGGTTTGGCTAAGGTAGAATAAGGTACAACCAAAATAGGATGAAAGTAGAACAAATTAGTACCAAAATAGATACAATCTTGAAGATCAATTTGTTGTATTCAATTATTGCTCTTGTATGTATAAGAAAATTGCATCGTAATGTAAATGAGTCTTTACTTACCCTATTAGTTAGTGCGGGTCTAGCTCCTTCTAGCACGGCCTCTTTAACCGCCTCGTGTCCTTCGAACGGTTGCCGTAGAGATATGATCTCATACAACACCATGCCGTATGAGAAACAGTCCACCTGTAAGGTAAGCATACGACATAAAAAATGTGAACCGTCACAGGACGCCTGGCAGATGTGAAACACTAGCCGGTTTAAATACACTCGGAGAATTGCTCGGAATGCGTGCGGTAAAAAATGACATAGGTACTGCCTCGAAGGGCGCTGGCGCCGTACTTATCGGCGAGTAGTTGAGCACTGGTATATATTGCATTTAAAGGGCGGGTGTCGCCACGCCTGAAATCGGTTTTACGTGCGCCAAAAGATGATTCACATCAACAGGGTGTTGAAAACAGTAACACAGATGGTTGATGGGAAATAAAACGCAAAGCTCGTTACAGATGGCGCTTTGGCAGTTTGACTCATAACGAGCAACCTGTCACTTTGTCGAACGGAAGTATTTGCTATCAAATTCACGGCAATACGTTTGCTACCTAGAACAGATATATATATATAAGATATATGTACCTTCTCATTGTATTCCTCCTCGCCGTTGTATCTCATGATCTCTGGCGCCATGAAACCCTCCGTGCCGCCGAAGCCCTTCGTGCCGGACGGCGGCGCTAGCCGGCTGATGCCTGGCGGCAAATAAACCGGACGATATGGTATTAATGAATTTAATCCTACGCCTAAATCAGTAGGTTAAATTCATAACCTCGGGTGTAACAGGATTGATGAGGAACTGGATGAGTTCGGATGGTAAACTCAAAAATGTGGTCGACCTTATCACATTAATGAAAAAGATACTCAATGACAGTGCTTCCAACCTGAATTTTAGAAAATTAGTAGATTATGTGCCAAATGTTGGTAGAAGTTGGTAGAATGTAAATGCAAAATTGGTAGATCTACCACCTCAATTTTTTTTAAGATTAAAAATGCATGCAATGCAATGCAGAGCACACTTCAAATCACACCTACATGATTTGCAATAAAAATATCCGTCACCCTTATTAATTTCTTGAAGCCAACCTGCAAATTCCTTGTCTTTCTCCCATAATTTCGAATATTTTTGGTCATAGCGCCTTTTTCTAGGTTTTCGTGACGGAGTTCCTAACCTAGAACTCTAGAACTATGTGCATCGCTTTCGCTGCTGTCAGAATCCATTATATAAATAAATGCACGCAACATAGAACAAACAGCAATCAGCACCGTTAATACGCAGTTAATTAGTTTTTACAATAAAACAGGAGCAAAGATTCAACATTGATTCCGCAACAAACCAACCGGGAATAGGCCACAGTAGGAATAGTAAAATATGGGCGCGAAATTGTGCGCCGAACTCATGGCGAACTGTTGCTGACGTTTATTTTGTGGTTTATGGCCTGGACTCTGTGTATACTTGACGCATCGTTGCATGGCTCATGCAATACATCGCACCGTCGCTCGTCGATATAAAAATAATTCAAAGCAGTGATATGTCAAACTAATTAAAAAGTCTAGGGTGGTAGATAGGTAGACTGAAGTGAAAATTGGTGGATCTACCAAAAGGTTGGTAGATATGACAGCACTGCTCAATGATGTCTCTGTAATCAATGCCGTCAAAAAGGGATGCGATCACCGTTTGGTAAGAGGCACATTGGATATCAACGTTAAGCTTGAAAAATCTGGACTGAAAAAGGTCTGTGCCCAAACCAACACCAACACAATTTGAAAACCCCGAGACCTTTCAACTTGAAGTCCAAAACCGCTTCGGGTCCCCTGAAACCAGCCTAGATATAGACGATTGCAACAAAAAATGGCAGTGGATACTGCACGTATTTCAAATGCCTTACCAGAATAGGGTATTTGACAGTATTAAAAATAAAGTGCCCATTGTTAGCATCTGTATCTAGAATGAATATTGGCAGGAGTTTTTACTATTTTTAAATATATTCATAATTTTACTAAAAACCCACGATAAAGGTAATAGTTTTCTTGTCTATTTTCACGTGACCCAAAACGCTTGGGATTGGTGGAGGCTCAAATGACGTCACACGCAAGTAAACTTCCGGTTAAAGTGACATTAGATTGTATGGTTTGACGTTTTAATGACAGTCGTGTGACGTCACTCACCAGTGAGACACCTTATTACCCAGAGATACGTTTTCGCGGCCACTTGAAAACAGAGTTTTTGATTAAGTTTTTTTTTATCGAAATACACAACATAATGATGAATATCCACTTTTGTTGACTCTAACAACATTAGTTAATAACGTGAGATTGTTTTCTAAAACTTGTCAAATACCCTATTAAGAAACTTTTTAACGAGATACTCCAACTTATGAAATAGTGAAATGAAATTAATGAGGTTACAGAACTCAGCCGATGCAAGTCAATATTGATTTCTCAATAAGCAGATTTCCAAGTCTTTGACAAGCGACCACCGCCAATTTCATGGTAATCATATTAAAGAAGCTATAGAGGAGATCTATCTATTAGACAAAGCCAAATGACGTTGCTGAAAATTTAAGACAGTAAGATCATTTCGAGGAAGGCTGAAATCGAGAAGTTATATCGGCAGGTCAATAGAAGCAGCTCTTGAAAGCAAGTATAAAGATCCTAGAGTTTACCTAATACTATACCGGCCTTCAAAATGGCTATTAAACAACTTTTAAAACAACATGGCGCCGGGCGATGATGGAATCAAATTTCGAGTTAAATCCATTTCAATGAATGTTCAGTATTATTAAATTACATATAGTGGCGAATCAATGCGTAATATTTGTAAAGAAACACAAATTTAAACATTGACCTGTATTTATATATTAGAAATGTGTAAATTTTTAAGATGTCGTATGTCTGAATTCCCAAAGATTTCTGACAAGAGAGCTAGAATAACCGCGATGAGACAAGGAGACAAATTACATTTACCTCGATCAAATTCAGCAATTTTTGAAAAAATTACTTATATGTCTGCCATACGAATATCCTGTCACTTCCTGAATATAAGTTTGTAAGGTCCCTGAAGAAATGGTTAATATATAATGCATTTTATAATCTAAATGAATATTTTAATAATAACGTTTTGTAAAAATGACTATTGCATGCACGATTAGGGTAACTGTTTTTTTCAATTGTGTGCAATACATCTAGCAGTATCACTAAATGTAACAGTTTTGTAATAAAGAATTATTCTATTCTATCCTATTTCATTAATCTAGTCAATAGGGATGATGACTATTTTTTTTTCTTTCTTTTATCAGGTAGATTATCAAAAAGTATTGGACACGTATTTTTTCTTTTTTCACATAATATAAACATTGCAGAGATATATTGATTTGAAAAGACGCATGACGTCACGGTTTTTACACTTTTAAGTGAAAATTCACTAAAAGGTGACGTCACGAGCCCCTTCTCCCAATCTTTGACGCGCTATAACTTTATCATTTTTTGGTTGATTGCCCAAAGAAAAAATACGTGTCTATTATTTTTTGATCATCTAACTGACGGACTCAATAGGATTTCGTGTCACCGCCCCTATTCTACGAAATCATCAGCAAAAGTGTAAAGTGTAGCATAGTGTAATTTAGTCTAGTGTGATGTGGTGAAGTGTAGTGAATCGTAGTGAGGTTTAGTGTAGTGTAGTATGGTGCAGTGTAGTTTAGCGTGGTGTAATGTAGTCTTACCGTAGTCTCCTAATTTCACGTGAACGTTTATAGGCGTCGGTCTCAGCTCAGCCGCGGCCGCGTCCTGAGGTTCCGGCATTGACCACACCAAAACGTTTTCAGACTAAAACAATCACAAAACATCAAGATTATGGGTTAAGGATTACTTTCATAGCCTCCGACCTCTGTGGCCGAGTGGTTTGAACGCCGGGTTTTCAAGGTGTCGCCTACTTTAGAGGTCCTGCGTTCGAATCCCGGTGTAGGCAGATGTTTGTGTGATGAATACGAACATTTGTACTCCAGCTTTGAATGTTTAATATGTTTATCTATATAAATATACTTATATATGTACTTGAGGAGCTCAATAGCGCAAGTGGTTAGCGCTTTCGGCTGCGATCGTTAAAGTAAAGCAACTTTCGCAGTGGTCAGTCATTGGATGGGTGCCCAAAAATCTACTATCTCGAGCTCCTCCGTGCTTCGGAAGGCATGTTAAGCTGTTGGTCCCAGCTGCATCTGCAGTGGTTAGCACCCACCAATCCGCACTGGGTCCGCGTGGTGGATCATGGCCCAAAACTCCCAATTCCATTCGTAGGGAAGGCTTGTGCCCCAGCAGTAGGAACATTAATAGGCTGATGATGCTGATGCCATAAATTGATGACATTCATGAGTATAATGGAGTCCTGACCCCTTTAAATGGTTAAAGACCTGTGTGACAGTTTTTTAGAGAGTAATGCTTCGTATCCATTTCTTATTCGTTGATGGCAATACTTAATTAAAAAACCATCTCACCTTAAGATCTCTGTATAGAATCCTAGCGGCGTGCAAGTATTCCAGCGCTTTAGCGAGCTGTAGAGCGAGAGCGCGAACGACTCTCTCGCTCACTCGCGCGCCGCAGCCGCGGTATTGACGAAGGACGCCATCTAGGGCACCCTGGACACAATACATGGAAAGTTTCAAGATTAATTTTGTTACAAGAACAACAGGGTATTTGGCAAGGTTCTCATTTGGGACCATTATTGTTTATACTCTATATAAATGCCATAACTAACAGCATTCTACGTTACGGTGTTTTACTTTACGCAGATGATACTAAAATATTTAGACTTATCCTTGACGCCAATGATTCTACAGTGCTACAGCATGATCTATGTAAATTTGAACATCATTGTAATAGAAATGATCTGTGTGTAATGTAACCAGTTTGGTAATGTTGTTTTTCAAGAAAGGCGATAAAACCCGCTTGAAGAACTATTGACCTATCTCGCTCTTGAGCCACGTCTATAAGTTGTTTTCGAGAGTAATTAATTACAAATCGACTTTCGCGCAGGTTCGACGACTTCCAGCCTCCCGAACAAGCCGGTTTTCGAAAGGGCTTTAGTACCATGGACCACATACATACGCTGCGTCAGATCATACAGAAGACCGAGGAGTATAATCGGCCTCTGTGTCTAGCGTATGTGGACTATGAGAAGGCCTTCGATTCGGTCGAGACTTGGGCGGTGCTGCAGTCCCTCCAGCGATGCCAAATTGACTATCGATATATCGAAGTGTTGAAGTGTTTGTATAAAAACGCCACTATGTCAGTCCGAATCCAGGAGAGAAGTACGAAACCGATTCCATTGCAGAAGGGTGTCAGACAGGGGGACGTGATTTCCCCGAAACTGTTCACCGCTGCATTGGAAGACGTCTTCAAGCTTCTGGATTGGACCGGACTCGGCATCAACATCAGCGGCGAATACATCTCCCACCTTCGATTTGCAGACGACATCGTGGTTATGGCAGAATCCCTGGAGGACCTTGGCACAATGCTCAATGACCTCAGCAGAGTTTCCCAACGAGCTGGTTTAAGAATGAACATGGATAAAACCAAGGTCATGTTCAATGTCCATGTCACTCCAGCACTAGTATCTGTTGGGAATGCGATTCTCGAAGTTGTCGATCATTATGTCTACCTAGGACAAACAGTCCAGTTGGGCAAATCCAACTTCGAGAAAGAGGTCAACCGACGAATTCAACTCGGATGGGCAGCGTTCGGGAAGCTTAGGCACATCCTCACGGCCAAAATTCCCCAGTGCCTGAAAAGAAGGGTCTATGACCAGTGTGTGTTACCAGTGATGACTTATGGGACTGAGACGTGGTCTCTGAATGTCGGCCTCATAACAAAACTCAGAGTCGCGCAGCGTGCTATGGAGAGGGCTATGCTCGGTGTCTCCCTACGTGATAAGATCCGAAATACGGAGATCCGTAGAAGGACCGGTGTGTACGACATAGCCCGAAGAGTTAGCACGCTGAAACGACAATGGGCAGGCCACATCGCTCGAGGATCTGACAACCGTTGGGTAAGAAAGGTCCTCGAGTGGCGACCACGTACCGGACGACGCAGCGTGGGGCGGCCCCCAACAAGGTGGACTGACGACATCGTCAAATATGCTGGGAGCCGCTGGATGCGGATAGCGCAGGACCGCGCATTGTGGCGTTCTATGGGGGAGGCCTATGTCCAGCAGTGGACGGAGAAAGGCTGATGGATGGATGGATGTGTGTAATGTGTGTGTGTGTGTGTGTGTCAGTCACCGGGCGCGCGTGCGGCGTGAGCAGCGCCAGGGGGCGGCAGCACACGGCCAGCAGGGGCAGCACGTGCGGGTGACGGAGCTGATGCATCACGCTCAGCTCCTGGCGGAGGCCGCAGTACGCGCGGCAGGCGCCAGTTATCGGCTCGCGGGACCAACGCGATGCTGCCGCCTACGACAACGACATAAAAACATTGATTTTCATTAAAAAAAAACGCTTATGACCACACAACTGAAGTGATTTACTCCTCAAGTCAAGCGTGTGTAAAGAAGTTTGCTTATATCCCCCAAAACTCCCGTTCGCCTCGCCCGATCACACATTTCGTAACGCGTAGCGCGTTCGCAAGTTCGTAAAGGAGTTTCAATTCAAATACACGACGGAAGTTAATGTAATTAATGTTGTAGGTAACTTACTCAGAATAAATATCAATGTGTGAAGGTATTCTAGAGCAGTATGTAATAAATCTTTCAACGCGACAGAGTTCTTTTTATTTTAGCATCGGCATACTACAGTTAATAAAGAAGTAATTTAAGTATTGACGGAATAAGGAGATTCCGTTAAGTGATTATGAAGTCCAGATGTGAAAATAGCTGGTAAAGCAGTTCTACCTGCCACACCAGCCATCCCCACCTTGCCGGCCTGCATGTTGCTTCTTCACGCCTCTTTTAAAGGATCCCAGGTTGTAAGAAGGAGGAAACACTTGAGCAAGTAGAGCATTCCATTTATAGATAGTGCGACAAAGAAATGAGTCACCAAATTTCTTTGTACGCGTTGGAATTGTGGCCACAGTGAGACGGTGACACCGAAGGCAAGCGCCATGGCTGTACCATGGCGAGTGTTCTGAAGAGTTATTCTCTCTTATTCTAACTTCCTCTTTCCTTCAGAGGACCACGCGCGCTGGCCTTCGGTGTCACCGTCTCACTGTGGCCACAATTCCAACGCGTACAAAGAAATTTGGTGACTCATTTCTTTGTCGCACTATCTATAAATGGAATGCTCTACTTGCTCAAGTGTTTCCTCCTTCTTACAACCTGGGATCCTTTAAAAGAGGCGTGAAGAAGCAACATGCAGGCCGGCAAGGTGGGGATGGCTGGTGTGGCAGGTAGAACTGAACGATAGAACGCGCTTAGTGACGCAACGTCACGGCGTAATTGAAGAGGCTCGAGGTGTTTAGTCACCTCCTCATCGCCTATGATGCGGATCGCGCGCCGCTGTAACCTATCCAAAGCATCGAGCAAGTACTTGGCGGAACCATCCCAGAGGTGCAAGCAATATTCTACGCAAGACCGCACCTGCGTCTTATACAACAAGCACAGTTGCTCGGGCGTGAAAAAGCGCCGCACCTTGTTCAGGACTCCGAGTTTGCGTGATGCCGTTTTTACCACGCTTTCGACGTAATTCTTTGGATTTAAGTCACAATTTCTAACAAAACAAATTCAGCTTATCTTCTTTCGCGGCCGGGAACATATTATACGGTGCGACCGTACATTTTTGCAAGCCCGCAATTTACAAAATACAAAAATCTTTATTATTTTTCTACATCAACTTTACATGGTGTGGGTCTTCTTCTTTTAAGTTAAGTAACCTGTATTAGAAGAAGACCGCTCCTTCATTCCGGTCTTTATAAATAATAATACAGCAATAACTTTAATTTAAATTATACTTATTACACCTGTGTGTATGGTGTGTACGTGTGTGTGAGTATGTGGTGTAAGTGTGTGAATGTGTGCGTGTGTTAGGGTATCTGTGTATGATTGCGTGCGTGTGGGAATGTGTGATGCGTTTGTGTGTATGGTGCATATGCGTGTATGTGCTGGAATGTGAATACTGAATAAGGCAGTAAAAATGTATGTGATAGGGGTATTATTATTCAAGAGGTTAATTTATATATTATATCATTTCTATTAGCTATCCATATGTACTTTATCGATGTAATAATTGTTCCGTCTGTTCGTAATCCAGTCCCTTTAACCAGTTCGTAAGAATCTTCTTACACTGATTAACAGTAGTTGTATAAATGTGCTTTTTTCTGTTAACGTTATTGTATATTGTAATAGATAAGTTATGAAACTGCTGCTGAGCAAATGCTGTTCTTATGGAATCTTGTTTTATGACAGGGTGTGGATTTCTTTTTGAAATACCTGCAGGGTCTATTGAATTAACTTTATGAATTTTAAGAATACTTTTTATTATATAAAGTTGTCTTACTGTTAGGATATCTGAATCGCTATATAACTTGGAAGTGCTATACCTTTTATGTTTTTTAAAAATTATCTTTAGTACTGCTCTCTGAGCTCGTTCAATTCTAATAAATTGAGATTTATACGTTCCGCCCCAGATCGGGGATTAGATAAGGGTTTTGTAAATGTATGTTATAAGCTTTGTATCTGTGATATTTCTTAAGTACTTAAATAACCATATCATCTTTCTAGCTCGACTTGCAACCGCATTTAATTGAGGGTACCACGTTAAATTTTTGTCAAGGGCTACTCCCAGGTATTTTGTAGTTGTGACTCTTGTAACATTTTGGCAGTTGCAATTGTTGGCATGGGATGTTGTACATGTGTGAGCAGTTATTGTTAGTTTGTTTGTTGGTTGCATTGAGTCTTTAATAGAGAATTATAATTTAGAGTAAGTAGGTTCATATTCAGCCATTTAATGACTTTACTCAGTCCGAGTTCAGCTTTACGGAATACCATTGGCCAACTTTTATCTTCAAAAAGTAGCGCCGTATCATCTGCATATGAGATAATTCTTCCGTTTTCTAGCTTCATATTTGTTAGATCGTTCATATATATAAGAAAAAGGGTAGGTCCTAACACACTTCCCTGCGGGACACCATAACTCGTAGTTAGAATATCACTGCTATGGACTGAATCATCTAGTTTTACACGTTGTGAACGGTTGCTAAGATAATTGGTTATCAAACTCAAGAATGTACCCCTAATACCCATCCTTTCCATTTTGCAGAGGAGAAGGGGGACTGAAACGGCATCAAAAGCTTTTTTTATGTCAAGGAAAACACAGAGCGTTTTCTTTTTTTTGTCGATTATTTGTTATTTGTTTAGTGAGATCATGAATGGCATCTTCTGTGCTTAAACCTTGGCCGAAGCCATATTGTGAGTCTGATAGTAACTTCAATTTATTCAGATATTTAATAAGCCGAGAGTTAATTATTTTTTCAAGGATTTTTGAGGTGACAGGCAGCACAGAGATAGGCCTATAGTTATTGATGTCGTTTCTGTCCCCATTCTTGAAAATGGGGTGGATAATAGATCTTTTCAGAAGATTCGGAAAAAATCCCTGCTGAAAGACCATAACGCTGAGGTAAGTAAGTATGGGGACGATTTCTTTTTTTGCCAGTTTTATGAATGCTGTGGGAATTTCATCCCATCCAGCAGCAGACCCCGACTTAAGGTTAGCTATTATAGAACCGATTTCAAAGGGGTCTGGTTCAACAATCCCTATTGAGTATGGGCATGACGGAAGTAAACCAAAGTAGCTATGTTGTGATTGGTTATTATTGATAATGGATTCTGCTAGAGAATTACCCACATCCTTAAAATGATTATTTATGTAATTTGCTGATTCACATGGATTATTTTTAAAGTTATATAGTTCTTTATTTAATACTTTTTGCTTATTAAGGTTTGTGATATTTTTTATACAGCTCCATAACTTTTTGTTATCAAATTTCGCTTTTTTCAATAGTTCACTTTCATATTTAATTTTTAGTTTCTTTATTAAATTGTTACAGTAGTTCCTATACCTGCGATAAGTTAATTTGAGAATATCATTTGTTTTGTCCAATCTAAGCTGTTTTTGTAATTTATTCCTATTTTTAATACACTTTAGTATGCCTGGTGTGATCCATGGTTTTAGAATTTGTTGGCTGTTAGGAATGATCACTTGTTTTGTATGCAGTTTTAAAGATAAAGTGATTATATTAACTATCTCATTTGTTAAAGTGTCTGGGTTTTTAATAGAAAATAAGCTTTTCTGTAATTTAGTTTTTAAGGTCTCTAGAGCATCTGTATAACTTATTATGGTTTTCGATTTTGAAGGTCTTGGGCGCTTAGATTTGTTATATATGAAGATACTTGTCATTTTGTGATCCGTGATTGTTAGGTGTTATCTAGGACTGCAATCATAGCTTCATAGTTGGTAGGACTTAAATTGGTGATGATATGGTCCAAGCAACTATTTATTCTTGTATCAAAACTATGCGCCGGCAACATACCCTGCGATGCTAACATATCGAGATATATATCAGAGTAAGTACCGCTATTATTATGCAGTATATTTATGTTAATATCTCCTGTAATAATTATATTTCTATTTCTTAAATGTAGCGAGGTAAGGTAATTCTCAAGTGAGTTAATAAAAATTGTTGGATTCGTTACAGATGGTGATCTGTAAATGCATAAAATATTGAAATTAGGTTTTAAAATTTCTAGGCACGAGGCCCCATTTAATATGACAAAAATAACTGACAATAAATTACTGACAAAAATCACAACTCCGTCGTTCTGATTTATTTTTCTAGTAGTGTTATAAGTCAAGTAGTTAGGTTTCTGTGGTAATGGTTTATCAGGGTTTATGCGACATTCTGTCAGAACAATAATATCAATTTTCTTGTCGAGCAAACTAAGATTGATATCCAAGTCATCAATATTAGTAGTGTTGTGGACACTACGAATATTTTGTGTTATCATTGAGAGTACTAGAGTGGATTGAGGTAAATTGGTATGTAAGTTTTCTATCTTACATTGAACGGCAGTTAAATTACTTGTGTCATCTAATTCTTGACTTATTTGGATTGACTTATCCATTTATAGTACCAAAAATTATTGTAGGTAAATAACTGTTAAGAAAACATATTATCACATAAAACAAACACAGCCGGTTGTAATTGTATATAAGGTAAGACTGCACATGCAACTTCTAGTAATTAACAGCAACATTTGTTTTATAGTAATGTAAGTTTTAAAGGTATGAGTCATATAGTACATACAGACTATAGATATATGTTGTGTAAAATCCTGTTGTTAATTGGGAGAAAGTCATAAAATAAAACCTTTTTCCCATAGTATAACTAAGAATACTTAGAATTTCATTAGTATTGTAAATATTATGTATTTTGTATATTAAAATGTATAATGCATTTGCTG